GTGGTCGATAAAATTAAAAAGTGAAGTATTTATTATTTGACAACATTACTTTATCGTAATTCAACATTCTATTTAATTAATAACAACCGTCATTACGGGGGGAAAAGAAAAGTGTACATAGATTATAGCATATGTTGAGTGGATTCCTAATTAAATAAATATATCGTGGTGACAACATTAATTATATTGTTTATGATGCATGCCTTAGCAATTAATACATGTCAACATGATAATTACACGAGTGCATGCCTATCGAAAAATGCATATCATGATAACATGAGACATGCTATAAGTTACAAACAGAATATGCTTAATGCTATATATCTTGTGTTGAGGCTTCACATTCAAGATATATGCATTTACACGCAACCATATATTAATTATTTTGAGCAAGCTTTCAATTTAACTTTTGATATACTCAATAATTTATAGTGTGCATAGATGGAGCGAGTTTAACGTATTTTTTCTTTTTCTTTTTCTTCTTCTTCTCCTTTTTTTTTTTTCTAAAGTCAACACTAATTTTCTGACTTAAAAAATAAACTAATAAAACCTCACAAGACAAGGGAAAAAAAGGGTCAAAGCTGAGAGTACCTGCAAATTTCTTCTTTGTTTCAACTTTTTGAGGAGAAGATATGGTCATACTTTGGCTTTAATGACTGAAACTTGAATTGAGTTAACTCTCGTGACCTTTTAATCTTCTTATTGTGTCCCCCAATAAAATCTTATCATGTTAGTTAACTCTCATGACTTTTCAATTAATGTGATATGAGATTTTAAATGAAATGTCATTTTGATGAATATGATATATTATTAGAGGGACATAAAAAGAATACGAGTGTCGATTTCATGAAATTAGGAAATGTTCCTCCTTAACTTTATTCTTTAATTTTGTGTCCCTCCCTTAGAATTGTGTTCCTTCTAATTTACTTTCAAAGTAAAAAACTAAAAAGAAATGGGAATAATCTAAAAGTATTTAAAGAAGGTAATAGATCTTCATACTCTATTGTTAGAAGGGAGTTGAATTTATAACTCATAAGGATTTATAAAAGAACAATTTTTTTTTTAATAAAAAAAAAGAGGGATCAATCATATTAAGAGGGTCCTTCAAGCTAGTTAATTTTTTTTTTAAATGCTAGCAACGCTCTTTCTGTAACTCTTTTTGTCACTCTCTGTATTCACTGTTTGACACGTTGACTCTACTGACATGATATATTATTATTTAAATAAAAAATGAGAAAATATAATCCACATGTTAAATAGTAAATGCGGAGCGTAATAAAGAGAGTAACAAAAAAAATAAAGCTAGTATTTTTCTTTTTTTTTTT